TGAATACACAGCTTGTCGGCAATATTTCTTGTACCGTTACTTCCTCCGGTTGTCAGGAGCTGAGTTTATCTACGGATTACTTATACAGTTTAATCAATAACAGGGGCGGTGGGGTAGCCTAGTGGTTAAAGCGTTCGCTCGTCATTCCCCACATGGGTACAATGTGTGAAGCCCATTTCTGGTGTCCCCCGTCGTGATATTGCTGGAATATTGCTAAAAGCGGCGTAAAACTAAACTCACTCAATAATCAATAACACGTGAAATACTGTGTATCAGACAGTAAGTTCGATGTGCATTTAAATCACGTCAGTATAGATTTTGTTTTGCAAAATGTATCATAAATAATACAATATTGGACACATCGGCAACATAATCTTTGCTTATCGATTAAAGTTCAAATGATTTTACAATCTTTAGCAAACCCGACATTATTCTATCGACTTCTCTCCTCAATGATAGGACTTTAAGCGCGAGTATGTTGTATATCGGATAAAAGAGTTTCTAGTTATCGGGTCATGAATGGGTTACAGAGTTGTGTCCCTTAGTCCAGTCAACAACCACCGATCATGTGTTCGAATCCAAAGTTTGCCTGCCTGTCCGCTGTCGTGCCTTTGGGTTTAACAATGTGGTCATGATCTATGGCCCGGTAAATGTAGTATTTAGTCGTGACGTGATGAATCACGCTGCATGGATTTTACTGTCTTCCAAAAGAAAGTAAACACTTGCAACCTGGATCGGACCAAAAGGTTACAATCGTTATCAAAACGTTACTAGGCTGAACACAGTCGCCGTAAGGGTGGACACGTAAGGTCCAAAACACAAGTGGTACCAGTATCAAATACACCCCCTTACAGAAAACTGAGAAAAATATTAGCTTGTCTGTTGCATTAATAACTATGATCAAACATGGGTGTTTAGTTTCTTTTGTCCGGCAGTGTATTTGAACTGTCCGACAGGATATTTGAAATGTGTTATCAGTTCTGTTTTTCATTTTCATGTTTTTGTTCTGGTTCTTAAAATGAGACCTGTGAAGTGAAGATCCGGGTTAGAACTGATCTTCAGTAACCCATGCTTGTCGTAAGAGGCGACTAACGGGGTCGGGTGGTTAGGCTCGCTGACTTGGTTCACACATGTCATCGTATCCAAACTGCGTAGATCGATGCTAATGCTGTTGATTACTGGATTGTATGGTCCAGACTCGATTATTTACAAACCGCCGCCATATGCTGGAATATTGCTGAGTGCGGCGTAAAACTAAACTCACTCACTCTTAAAATGAACGCGGCGTCATACAACGACAGTACTGTGTACGTAACTGTACAAATACTATAGAAATATTGCAGGTATAAACATAGTTACTATAGTAACTACACGATAACTTATACTGTGACTCGTTAATCCGTTGTCCTGTTGCAAAGCCTCACTTGTGTCGTCTAGTGACTAATGCACATATTTCAGAATTAATAAATATTTTTTAAATACATTATTGCGTGTTTTTATTGCACATATTCATATACACTATCTATTTGCCGAATATATTAATGCCTTTCATAAATTCACCAATTTGATGGAATGTTTGCCTCGCACAACATCTGGTACATGAAGGGAATATTGAAATCCCACCACGCTATACCATAAGCTGCAGAGATATATCATTGTATATGAACATTCAATTGGCTAGTGACTTTAATCATTGTATACAAGGGGATTATAATACGAGCACCTATATCCAGAAGAGTTTACGAAATGAGTGTCAGACTTATTGTACTGCGAGAGCGACGGAAATGAAGGATTCTTATACGTTTCGTAAAATCAGTATGACACACATACGAATAGTTTGTTGTACTAACCCCCACTTACCAATATTCCAGCCATATGGCACCGGTCTAGTGATCAACAGCATGAACATCGATCTACACAACTCAGATACAATGACATGTATCAACCAAGTCATCGAGAAAAAGACCACCCGATCCCGTTAGTCGCCTCTTACGACAAGCATGGGTTGCTGAAGACCAATTCTAACCCGGATCTTCACGGGTCTATCCCCATAGGAACAAATAGGTCTGAATAACTTATCTGAATAATCGAGTCGGGACCATTCAACCCAGTGATTGACTACATGAGCATCGATTTACTCAACTGGGATACGATGACCTGTATCAACCAAGTCAGGAAGCCTGACTACCCGATCCCGTTAGTCGCCGCTTACGACAAGCATGGGTTGCTGAGGACCAATTCTAACCCGGATCTTCACGAGTAACATACGAATGCACAACTGTCTATATCATTTGAAATACCACAACTATCGAATGACGTCAACAATCTCGAAGGTGGCGTTATTCTCACATAAAGTCACGAGATCTAAATGCCGGCAACACTGCCATCCCCATGACGTAAACGATACACCGTTATTTGCAATAGTGCTCATACCGTTTATATTACCGTTTTCAGTGTTGAAAAAGAGTATCAATTTCCGAACATATTTGATGGTTTATACATTATATGTTTTGCTGATCAGGAAATCTAACGTGCACGTCAGGAACATATGTATTTATTATTTCATCGTGAATAATCGATGAAGTCACTTGTATGTTTAAATGAATATAATTTACCAAACAACAGGTGCAACTGTCATATCATGTTATATATTATTACTGAGAGAATATATATCATCCATAACTTTGTTATTATTCTATTTCAGATTCATGTATTCGGATCGTTGCGTAGACTATTAACAGTGTATATAGTGAGTGAGTGAGTTTAGTTTTACGCCGCTTCTAGCAATATTTCAGCAATGGGCTTCACACATTGTACCCATGTGGGGAATCAAACCCGGGCCTTCGGTATGACGAGCGAACGCTTTAACCACTAGGCTACCCCACCACCCCAACAGTGTATATAAGATAATATAAGCTACGTAGACTCGATCCTATACATACATTTGTATTGTTGAACAGATCTCTGACTTGAAATACGATAGTGTTTGTTAATCATGGAATTATGGCATGGAGAGATAGGATAGTTATCTGATCGCCATATCCAATCAGGATATGTAAGTGAATCAGTATATCTAAGGTAAGAGGACAACATATCCTGCGTTTCAAAATGGATCACGTAAACTGACACGTAATCACTTAGTGCCATTTTTTTCAATTATAGCATGATAAATAGCAAAACCTCCGTAGTCCAACCCTCTTAATTCTGGATACTGCCCACAGAGGACATAATCTACTTATCACAGCGGACACCTATCAGTCAGAACGATTATATATACCCAAGAGATTCTGTATGTTCCACAACACGTATTGTCATATCACGTTCTATCGAAGTAACGGTTTGAATGTACCTACCGATGAGGTTTACAATAACATCATATTGCATCTGTTCACAGTGAAATTTCACATCAGCTCGTGGTGGACTCAGAAGGTAAAGTCAACGTCCCAAGTTGTCCGAATGCTTGGTAAATAAAAACGTGTAATGTCTCGAATGTGGAGCAAGTGCAGTCGTTGGATTGCAATGAGACCTGGGTGTGGCAAGATAACACTTGGGGCGACAGTTTCTCCACACCATGTTCACAGACAACTCCTGGTTTTGCCTCCGATTCAGAGATGGCAGAAATCATTATTGACGACGTAGCGGAGAGTGGTATGCCAGGGTAACAATTCTTCACCATGCTCGGTACGGTGGCGGTTGTTTCTTGGCGTGGGGCGGATCACGTGACAATACAAAAATACTGATTTGGTTATTGTGGCAGGCCAGCGATATGTTGACGACATTTTGCGCCCTGTCGTTGTTCCATTCACTGGAATCATCGGCAGACATTTTGAACTGTAAGATGACAATGCCAAATGTACCCAAGTCGTCACCCATTATCTGCGACAATTGGACGTACAGCCATAGGGCTTGCTCCCTATGTTCTCTTCCATGTCCCCATCAGAACATGTGTAGGATGTTTCTGGGAGGAGCGTAAGCCAGAGATCTAGCATCATCATCCTGGTCCAGTTTGGGTCAGTTCTTCAGACAGAATGGCGGGTAATACCAAGACCTGCCATACGCAAGTTAATGAACAGTACGCTATGCAGGGGCCGTGCATATATCGCCCAACATGATGGTGGAAACATTAGATAGTTATTCTCAAAGTACCTTCCCAGACATTTAGCATTATTATACCTTCACCATCATTTCATCATTTTTTATGTTTTTGTTTCGGACGGGTTTCTTGTCAGCCTAATGGTTAAACTAGTACACATAACTATATACTGTGTATATCAGAATCGCTGTTCACAATGTACCAAACGAAAGACCAAATATACAAATCGCCCTTTCAAGGGTACATTGTACACTCTTTTTGCTCAAGGAATGAACATATTCGTTAAAAACATACATGAGTGATGAGTGTAAATCCAGGGTTCAGTGACCAAACAGTTTTGAGAAGTGACTAAGTCTCTCCCAGTAGCAAGAGAACAAATGGCAAAAATAAACCATCAAGTCAAGAATGATTGGACAAGTCTAAATTGCTACATCATGAAACGTAACATTGGTCTGGTCCTTTTGAATTTACTATGGTATGTATAAGGTAAGTATTTTAGATACGATATCTATATTTCTGAGACTAAACGCCAGTCTATACGTTAATTACATGACTGTGTGTCAGTGTTTTGGCCAAAGTGTGATCGGCCCTGTATGAACGATAATTGTGCCATCTGTCTGATGAGTTTAACCTCTACATACCGGAAACTTTACCTTCCAGGACACCTCTTTTGAACAAAATACATAAACTATCTGAAACCCGGAAACACACGTGCAATATCCATCTTTTATCGGGATTGTTCAACTGTAGTTTACATCAGACTAAAACCCAAGTCTTAACTCGACATACGGCCAGACCCATGACTTAAACCGAACCGGTGGTGCTGTTGTATATAAGGCTTAAGGATATATCAATAGACGCTTTATGGTAACTTTCTTCACAAAGAATCAAGTCATATATTCACAATTCTCACCAAGATCAACCCGTTCCGCTGGCTGATTAGCTCCTGTAAACATACAATGTGTGTGTGCAGGAAGAGTTGGGGATCGGGGTCTCTGTATATTGCATTTCTATACACAAACAACCGCGTGGTACACGGGCTCAGGATTAATCAGACCAACGTGAAATTCCTCCATACATGCCGAGGTGTATACATATGTCTGAGTGCACGTCACGCTTGAAGGACGAAAGTGCAGAGCCTTCTTGTGGACCTATAATTGACAGTATTTCATTCAGAGAAAGCCCGAAATGTCAGGCCTCCGCTTGACATTTCCCCTTGACATATACATGTAATTAAATACACTACAATTGCACAGGATTGGTTTACATTCCAGCACATTAACTGGCAGCTTACACTGAAAGTTACTCTTACGATTCAAGCTGGATAGGTTCACAGAGCAATAACAGTCCTGCATATTCGGGCTATATTTACCTGTTCGCAGGAAGACGTTATTGGCAAACTGGCCGAGTGCCACTGGAGCGAACACCCCGGCTATTGTATTGAGGTTCCGTCGAAATCCAAACATGTTGTACTTGGCCTCGCAATCATCGTCATAGACGCCGAACAGCGTGGAAAACACTCGTTTATACCAGCGTCTAGGGGGTATCAGGGGTGCGTTTTCGTTCCCCCCGTCAGCCGGCACCCCATTCATCTGTAGACTTTCCAAGTGAATAAAGTTCCTGTTTGGGGTATCCTCTCCAAGAGTTCCTCCAGAACCATATCCATTCCTCATCATTTAGGATTGCAGTTGCCAGACAACGCTCTCATGTGTAGTTACAGGCAGAACTCCGACAAGCTGTCGCGGTAACTTAAACAACAGCTAGCGTGGCACTGTGCTAATGTGTAGTTACTTATCAGCAGCCTGTGTATAACTGTCCGACACTGGCTCGTGGAACTTCGGCGCTACTCCGAAGCATGTATGTGTGTACATATATGCTGTATAGAAAGACCGCCCCATGAATCATAGCACTAGCGCTGTCGCTCGGTCTCTACTAGCATCAGCTGTTCGCGTACAGCGCCGTGCAGTAGACACAGCTGTTCCTGGATTTAGGCCTGGGATTTACCATATTTAATGGAGGATTATCGTTTGTGAAACTTCAGTAGGGTATTTCACTGTTTCCTCAAAAGATTACATTTTTATTTTTTCCTAGTATACAGTACACAGTATCACGAAAGAGACACTATACCGGTGTATGGTCTCCCATCACGTCGGTATATTGTACAACGACCTCTGCGCCATTCATACTTCGTTATAACAAATACGTTATACCGAGGGTAAATATTCTCTAGTTATAAGGCGAACGATTGACAGAATTCGTTTGTTTGATGAGCGCATGGACGAGGCCATGGATTCCTATTATGACCAATTGAGGCCCAAAGATATCTATCTGTGTATCTATATAAAGGATCCGTGGTGTGTACGCTCGAAAGATGATACTTTCATTTCTGTGATACTTTCATTGATACGGTATTAAATGGTTTAAATGATGTGATGTTAGTAGAATATATCTATTTGTTTTAATTAGGGCGAATCATTAAATTAATTAGTTTGCGTATCTATGTTTCCAAATTATGAGCCGATAATAATTCATTTCCATTTCGTTGTCATCCATCGATTACCAAGTTAAAACTGCATGCGATATTTCTCCTTAAAACGGCAACCACGGTAACGATGACGTCAAGCCAACGACACCAACGACGCGAATAAAAGACATTCGTTATGAAATCAAGGTTCTATTTGCAGCACGATTTTAACGGCTAAGGCCAACTGTGGTGAACAGAGACCCCTTAGAGCCCGACATGGTTTTCACACAGATACATTTCGGCACAGCTCACCCAGTTAACTTCACAGACGTCACGGGGTGGTGAGGGGGTAGGGGCGGGGTGGGTTGCAGTACTTTTATCACTGTAACCCCATTGCAAGATATCCATGCAACGTCGGTATTCATTGGTTTTATGTAGTGATAAATGCTGGGATGAGAGCAACGGTCTGGTAGACCACACTGTACATATATGACCTTTCCCACAACTTGTGTCGAAGTATGTGTCGCTGCTGAAGCTGCGGTTGTCTTTTCACATCTGAGTGAGTGAGTATGGTTTTACGCCGCTTTTAGCAATAGTTCAGCAATATCACGGCGGGGGACACCAGAAATGGGCTTCACACGTTGTACCCATTTGGGGAATCGAGCCCGGGTCTTCGGCGTGACGGGCGAACGCTTTAACCACCACAAGGATACCCCACCGCCCCCATTTCACATCGGAACTATTTGGGGACTGATTTCAGTTGAGTTTAAGTATCAAGTATAAATGGGGAATAAACGGCTTGGTTGAGTAGTCGGTGCAAGATTTATGTGTGCTTTAAGTGTGTGTGAGTAGCAATAGAATTATCACTACATAACTCCATATGTAAGTTCACACAAATCTAACACGTGTTTGCGGTGTATGACTAGAGGGCTCGTATTAGGGCTCTGGTCTTAGAGCACACAAGCCAGGTGACATTTTTCTCAATAAATATTGACAGGGTTCAAAAGGTCTTATAAAGATACAAGCATGATCTACATTTAATATAAAAGGTGCACTGACGGTAAAACTGCTTTTTAAAATTTAACTGCTGTGTTTTAAACTGATATTTCAATATAAAATTAACTCTGTGCATTTTTAAAGTATACGGTGTCTACGTGTTAGTATTGACATGTTATAAAAGAAGACTCTTCCTGTATACTACCCATCAAAAGTTTAGACTCACTAGTGTAAATGTAGCAACTTACTTCAGTCAACTGTTCTAAACTAGATTTTGCAAAATATTCCATACTGTTTAAAGGTACTGTTTACACATGAACTGATGTATTGTAAAACAAATTAGTAATGTTGAAAAGTTTATTGTCATAAGTTCAATAAATGATGAAACTCAGTGAAAATTAGCGAATTCTTAACAAAACGTTACACCAAAACGCAGCTGTTGACATGCACGATAAGTGCACATGCTTTTCAGCAATTTGATGCATGATCCTCGTGCAATTCATCTGCATAAGGTTTGCAGTTGGTTCCCCTCAGTTAGTGGAGAAATTCATCTTCGATGTAACCACATATATATACATAACATAGAGTGAGTGCTTTAAGTGAGTCTAAACTTTTGATGGGTAGTATATATGCCTCCATCCTTAATGTACAGTTCCATCTGGGTTGTACAGTGGTAGAAAGTTTAGATACGAAAACAGTTTCATCCCATCAGTTAGCGAGTGGAAGACTATGTGTGTGTTTTATCACGTGACGCCGTGCTGTTGGAGGAAAACAGAAAAGAATAGACAAGTTTACTATATTGGTGCAAGCCACCAGTCTGTTGACAGACCGCAGATCATTATCAGGATGAGGCTTTTATCCAGCGAATCATGGCTCCACAAAGGGGCGCAACTCTGGACAGCATCTTTCCGTCTTTTAAGTGTACAACGCGTATTGTATGTTTTGTATGTCTTGGTCAAGGAAACTTATATGCCTCAGAAAATCCAAACACGATAGCTGAAAAAGAATCCCGTACCTATAAACAATTGGACAAATAGCAGTGATTCGCCGCTGCCACAATTGTAATGTATATTGATTCGGTATAAAACACGTTGGAATGTTGGAATAAAGCTTAGTACCTTACCTGTTCTGAGAAACAGCATGGTACCAAACTGTCCCAGCGCCACAGGTGCTACCACCCCAGACAATGTCCCAACGCGTTGTTTGAATATGGTCTTGTTAGACCTTGGGTCTAACAGCGTCTCATAAGCTCCACAGAAGAAAGTTTTCATCCAGCGTAGAAATCGTTTGTGCGGCGGAGTCGGCAGGTCGTCGTCGTCTTCGTTGCGTTCATTATCCAGAATAAAATTCTCCAAGCTGATGTAACTGGAATAATCCTGTTTTTTCCTCAGTCCCAGATCAGGCACGTGTTTAGAAACGTTGTTGCGGGGGATCTTATATACTTCCTTCATTTTCGACGTCAACGACGAAGATTAAGTCACTCACGACGCAGGCTGTATTTTTACAAGTCGTTTTATAGATGAAAATAGATTCTTAGTCTGAACCTTTTATCTAATGCTGAAGTGCTTGGATTTTATATGTTCGGACGTAAACCAAACCAGCATTGCCTTTTCAAATATTAGTAATCACCATTGTTCGAAATACGAACCGTATCCACGCATTGTCTGTCAACGACTGAAGACGAGACGAAGACGCCTCTGTTTTAGCTGTGCACCAGTGACGGATTAGACGTGCAAAGGGAAAACAGTTAAAACTTATTGATCATCCACTATACGACGATAGTAATCGACATGTCTAGCCCCAAATCAGGATATGACAAAAAAGTGATGACACATTTATGACGACTCCATTAGCTGTATCGTGATTAAGCCTGGGGCTGTTACTTTACACTCCCCCACTTCCCAGTGGAGGAACCCGGCGGCGTTTTACGCCGTCTTCAGCGCGTCACGTCATATAGCTGTCACGGACCTGTCAATCAAGGCCTTTGTAACTGTTTAGGCAGTGTACTCATCAACCTAGATATAAGTTTATGTGTCAGTTTAATGTGATGTTAGACAGTTTCTTTTTTTTACTTTGAAGTGATTTTTAATCTTCGGTTTCAGTTTGATCACGGACAAAAACATCAGGGACCATACACATATGCAGAGATAGTTTTACAGCTCAAAATATCTACCATCTACTGCCTATGGTATTGTAGGTACCTTGCTGTCTAATAGTAACCATGCATATAAGAGGTATTACTTTCAAGTGAATATCCGGGTAAGAATTGGTCTTCAGTAACCCATGCTTGTCGTAAGAGGCGACTAACGGGGTCGGGTGGTCAGGCTCGCTGACTTGGTTGACACATGTCATCGTGTCCCAGTTTCGTATATCGATGCTCATGCAGTTGATCACAGGATTGTCTGGTCCAGACTTGTCTATATCATATAGCTGGAATGTTGCTGAGGTAAGGATCAATCAGTCAATCAATCAATCGATCACTTCAAGGCAGACCTGCTGAGACGTTTTCCGTTTGCTTGTCGGTTTATAGATTAAATGTTGCCAATTCCACGTTACATTTTAACTCTCATCTATTTATTTATATTGCAAGATCTTGTGTTTTTGACTGATTTACACGTCACAATTCATTTCACACGAAAATACCATGACGTGAATTGAACTTACAACCTCACATATCATGTTTAGGGACCGTTCATAAAGGGAAGAGGAAACGTTATTGCTTTTAAAAGAAGGGTGGGGGGTGGGGGCACCCATGTTTGTTCTGAGGAGGTTGGCGGGTCAGCAATTCTGTACATATTGATATTTAAAAAATATGCTTAAACTTATGGAGGGCGGGGTTGGGATGGCTCATTGACATTGTATATGATTCTCCATAAAAATCATCATCAACCCCCTAGCCATAAATTATGAACGTTCCCTTTGAGTTGTATTCCGGTGTATCACCACGGAGACACTGGGGCAGGTGATGACAGCATGCTCAATCTTATGTGTCATGTATACTGTCTGCATGTAACATGTGGTCTGTCTCTCGCCAGTCGTCATGGAGACGGTGACTACTGAATTGTTTAGTATATATAAGTATCCCGATGTTTCTTATTCGTCTTGATATTGTATTGCATTTCTGACGATTCCTGTAAAACATGGTGTTTGGGAACAGTCCTCGGGGCTGTCACATTTTCAACCCAGACCCACAGGTCCTTGTTAGCAGGTATCTGTATAGTCTACCAGACACCTTCCGGGTACAGTCGGAATGCCATGATAAACTATCAACCTGTCTCTTATTTCCCTTAGTTCTTGAGTTGTTTGCACAAAGACATTTAAGCGAGAGTTGAATATAACGATATTTTGAAGAGTATTTAAATATGTCAATGCGAGTCAGCTTAATATTGTAGGAAAACTTGAGGTAACGCAGGTGTTTAACCACTATAACTTTAATGAAAGCTACGAGAACGGGCATAGTGCTTATAAACGTAGAAACATAATCAAGGCGAATCTAGGATTCGAACCAACGACCTTAATTAATA